CGGCTTGATTTACAACGCTCTCTTGTTTCCACTCGGTCGATTGTTCGCAGCTTTATGTTCTGAGACTCGAGACTTGCCATTCTGTTATTGTTTCCGACGGCCATGGGAACCGAGATCGCGTGGCTTTTCAATGACCTTTATTACTTTTGAGATTCTTTTATGGATTCACATTCTAGTTCGCGTTTCAAGTTCAATTCTGATGGATTTGTTATCGTCGATCAGTAGATCTTAGCGTAGGATGCTATTGTTTGTGTTACTAATTCCATAAGTTTTAATCATATGTTCTGGAGTTTTATTCTATTTGGTTATTTATATAGGTAACTATGCTATGGTTGTTGTATTTAAAAGGTATACAATAAAATCATAATTATATTTATATTTATAAATTAATAAAACATTAATGTCTCCGTATCACGAGAATTCTTCGCTCCGAATCAATATTTTAATAGCCCATTTCCTGTGACAGCCGCTTCCAACTTAACTGGTCCCGCAACTTGAATATCTAGTTATGTAAATTGACTCGAAATTGTGTATTTCAACATTTATATTCAAATGATGATTTATCGGATATTTAAATTCAAGACACTCGTGTTATCTTTATTCAGATACATTTTATAGCAGCGACAACACATTCAGAATAAGGACATGATAAGTGCTAACCTTTTACGTTCACTAGAAATTTATTAGTCAAGAGCGACAGAGGCAACGCGTCGAAGCGATACTGTTGTGCTAATTTGCTGTTATTCACGGTCGACTGCTTGTTATCGTTGTGCATTTAAGTGAGTAAATAAACTCGTTTGTATGTAAACGCGAGCAAGCTATTACAAACTAATGAATCCGCGACATTATCGAACTAGGAGCTGCGTAATGTGACCTCATTCCGTTATGTCTAATTCATTTCACGTAGCGCTGTTAAATGTCTTTGAGTCGATTTTTTTATCACTAACCAAACGTATCTCGTAATCAATAGATCAAGTTTTTGTAATGTAAAAAGCGAACCGAATTCTGTGAGGTTGCAAATTGTTTTTTTCAACTAATCACCGTCCCGTGAAGGTTTCCGACTAACCCGGAAAGTTAATGACAAATTCAATTGTAAGCTTTAATTTGTTTTGTAATTTAGTTGTAATATTAATTATAACCACAAATACATGTATTTTTTTATTATAAAAAAATCTTCTAATCTCACTGTAGCACTGCGGTACTGACATACTATTTGTCCGATTACGTTATATCTGTGTCGAGACGGCAGATATTAGCCAGCCACGACATGCAACGTGATCCAAATGATTTATAAACAGAGTTTCATTCAATTAATTATGAATTCGATAAGACGGTACGTTGAACGCATGGACTTGATAATGTAGGAATGTTCCTATACGTAACAATATCGCCTCAGTGTTTTCTTTGATCCACTTGTTCTTTTATAATTTTTAATTTCCCCTTTCGCACACCATATTAAGAATGAGGCGTCGGATGTGCAACTGTATTACCGACCATGTAATTAATTGTATGTAATATTGCAAGCTGGAAACAATGTATCAATGCGTTAGAGAATCGATGTCGTGTTTACGATTTCACCTCCTTTGTCTCAGAGTCATGCTGCGAAGTATTGTCTATATTTATTGACAGTTGCTATATTTCAACAGCGATACTTTGAAGACGAAGAGAACGTATGCCAAGTCGTTTGACCTCATTCCCGAGACTAGCTCTGCGTAAACTCATATTGGGCTTATGAAAACATTGCTATTTATAGTGTAGATCGGGCCGCACCAGACCGCTCGTATTATTTGCCTGTTTAACAACGCGAACATTCGCCAAGTGCGGCCATGTTTTCAATCGTCGTCGCCATTCTATTTTATTTACGACTCCGTACCCGTTAAAAGAATACAAAACTCTTTTTTAACCGTGTAAAACGAACTTCTAAATATTTATGTGTGTATGTATATGTAAATCGTAAGACTAAAGATATCAAGACTTATGTTAATAATCACTAAGAAATGTATAGTTAGAGATCAGTTTATCCGCCATATCACCGGTCATGATGTTGGCGTAGTCTGCGCAACACCCGTTAACATGTCCAAGAATGCACTGAACGGGTTTCTTGCACGCAGATTGGTTTCCACACAGCCCTGATGGCTTCTTCGAATTTGATTCATCGACGTAGACACATAAATTAACATACTTACATATTCATATTGTTGTTGTGGAATATTTTGCATTTCATGTATTTATTTTTATTCTTTTAAGAACTCGTTCTCTTATTTTATTTGTTGTGAATTATAATTGAACGATTAAACAATAAATTTATTTGCAGCATATTAATAATATCTTGAAACATATAAATAACTTAATAAAATCACTTTTAATATACAGCTAAAACTATTATACCCAGAGAAGTCAATATGCAGATTAAAATAAAATAACAAATTCTAAAATAGTACGAGTAGATACACTTTATCTTTTATATTACAAATATGTTTTATCAAGGCTTAAACATCGTATCATTATTAGATAATAGATAACATATCAAACGATATATTAAAATGCATACATATATCAATCAGCAGTTGTCGTCCTACATAATAAAATGTCGCGCTGTGATAAAATCACGACACAATGATCGATATACACATCTCTTTAACCTTGAATAATAGTAAACATTGACTAGTAATTAACATACATAAGTTTAAATTAAATAATTAACACGTTTCTGAGAAACTGCAGTCTTGCTATGGAAAGTCAAATCGTTAAAACGTTGTAATTTTTGTATTTCTCTTAAACACTTCTTGTTCGTTGTTTTCTTGCGGGTGCAGGCGGAATGAAATTGGCCCAACATGTTACCCACGAGGTAAATCGGGCGATGCACGCGGTCGAGTGCCCATTTCTCACGTTCGGACCAGTTCTATGGACTGGTTGGGCCGCATGCCGATCAAGAAAGGTGCTCGCGCGGTGCCTTAAAGGGTGAAATAACCTTTTTTTATGTTCCCAGCCTCTTAACGTTGTCGGATGTTAGTCGTGCAATCATCGCTGGTATATAAAATGTGTAACGATCGGTGTGCATAAATAACGAACTCTTGTATTACTTTATATGTACCGTTTTGGACACGTAAATCCATCTTAGTTTCTTACTAATATTATAAATGCGAGAGTTTAGATGAATGGATTTTTGTTACAGTTAGTAGCCTAGACGGCTGAACGAATCTCAATAAAATTTGGCATAGACGTAGAGGATAGTCTGCAAGAACACGTAGGCTACTAATTTTTTTTTATAATCCCACACGGTCGGAGTCGCGGGTGTAAGCCAGTATTTAAATAATGATTGAGTGAAATGAATTAAGGCGTATCAGTGACTGTCGAGATCTATGTCGTGACAGTAGTCTCTGTAACAAGTAGTATTCGAAATCCATGTAAAGAAATCACTAGGGTGAAGTTTAATTTCTCTTCTTATTGTAATGCTGGACAAGTTACTGTATAGTTCATTACTCCGGGTAATTTATTTGCACGATAGAGCTATAATAAAAGATACTTATTCATTTAGGTGCAGCCACCTGCGTAGAGAGCTGGATTAACCGGATAAGGGCCCTGACTTCAATGCAGGCATTCTCTTTTAATGAAACCGTTCTGAGAATTTAAGTTTATATGGAAGCGCTTTTAGTTGTTATATTGCAAACGTGTGGCATTTACAAATCAATAAAACAAGCTAATTTGAGCAAATATCTAACATAGAGTCAACTTTATTTGTTCTTATAGTGAGTAAATCGATTTGTACTTGACACGACTTTATTATCTTGACCATTACAATATCTTAAAAATGTTTTATTACGTGTAAGAGATTTAAAACAACAACCTTATATGACAAAGTCCATAAAACTTCTAAAAGCGTCGCAAGATATTTCTCTAGTATTGACAGGTGATATTAAAGTGCGGGCAGCCGCGCGAGTTATTATGTGGATGTGTTTCTATTGCATAACTTACAGAACCGGTCCCAATAAAATGTCAGACGAGCTGTACAAGCTATTAATATCCAGCTGTTTCTCAGTTACGCCTACATAGCAATTATGGATATCCACTTCTTTTGAAGTGACTTAAAAGCATCTATTCAACCTTCCTAATTTGGTAAGGTTTTTTTAATAGCACAATACTTTGAATTCTGTGTAAAGTGTTGTGGAAAATACTTTAGATATCACTCAAACACTTATGATAAAATAATATATTTTATTAAGTTGGTTATCAACTCACAATCTGCTTTAATGGATATATAGATTTATTTTTAGGTAGTGTATTCACTATGGCATTGCTCTGCGGTCGCGTGTAATTCATGGTTTAGTGAACCGGCAGCTGCTTCTATCCCAGTGACAACGATGCGGGTGAATACAAGTATTCATAGATATTAAATGATAGCCTCGCAATAGCGCACCTGCCCTGCTCACTCAATAAAAACTGGCGATGGAATAATTAAAAAAAACTGCAAAGATAAAAGATATATTATAAAAACTCTCAATGATTGCCTTCATAAAAATATTTCAAAGGTCTGAAATTTAATATGAAATTATTATGTGGAGTTTTTGTTGGATTATAAATAGCAATACAATTTTAACTACGAATTTGAAATTTTCTTTTTTTTTATTCATGTTGATAGTAATCAAAATTTCATTCTAAAGATATGCTGATATTTCTCTCGAACTACCCGAAAATTACCAACATTAAAAAATGTGGTTTCCTCGCACTTCAAGTTAACCAATTAATATAAAAGTGGTTTATACTCGTACTTGTTCCTTCAGCCTTTTACTTTAACCAAAACAGGCTAAGGAAACCGGTACGCGTTATTCGACATGCTTATTACCTGCGTTAATATTCAGCGATTATATCTTCTGGCCTTAAAATTGATGATCATTTCACTGACACCCTTATGTTTGTTTTTAAAACATTATAAGGAGTGGAATGTTTCGTAATTTATAATGTTTATTATGTAATAACAAATTTCGCTTCTATTGTTACAGGCACGACCCAGGAGCTTGAGCAAATCGAAATCAACAAAAAAGGTAAAATGCTTTTCCATTCCATTGGCCATTCACGAATAAATAATTCAATGGGCATACATTGATCACGTTATACGTTGGAATGATTTCAATACCAAATGATCTGAGTACGGTTGTCGTCATTGTATCGCAATCGATTTATGTTTCATTTTATATTTCATTCGAGGGTTCTCGTCGTATTTAAGTTTTAACTGTACTTGGCACATTAAAAATGTAACGGCAACGTAATAGTTAAATCTCTTTGATGTACCACGCATAGAAAGCTAATGATTTATAAATCAGTACTCGTATATCACTTGTAACATCAAGATTTTGTTTATCACAAGTCATTTTCTAATAAAAACTTTCCAAACCGTAACTATACTGTCCTAAATGTGAAAATGCACGTAATGCAATTGTTTGTAGATCATACATACATAATATTTTGTAATCTGCCTTGGAGTTTGTGTTATGAGTAGCTGAAACAGTAATTAGATAATAACGATTCGTATAAGGATCTTTAACTCGTTTTAAAATAAAATCAACATTCGTATCAAGTATTCCTTAATTTTACATTCAAAGTAGTGTTTTTGTTTCTCGAGCGTCATCTGCGTATGTATGCTGCTTGTTTATACATCACCGTATTCGCGCTTCGAGAAGCATAGGTCACCAAGAACATAATACATTTGTTATTATCATTACCTTATCTAAATTTCAATTCGCCATCCGAGTAACGGGGTCACAACGATTTTGATAAATATTTCTACATTGTTTATCCTCTCGTTTCGTCTACTTCGCTGATAAGAATATTTACAGAAAATGTTTTTTTTATTCCGACGTTATGTATTGACCTGTCTTTTACCTTTAAATATTTATATTATATGTTTTATCAATGTTTCTCCATCACGTCTTAAAAAGTGTTCAAACTTTGATATTTATGAATTTCGCCGTTTTGGATATATATTGAATTTACATAGTTTAACTTTTACACACAAACTACTATAGCTACCTATTTCATTCGAATTACTCCCACGAAAATACGACTTACCTCAATGTTTACTGGTTTTCCCGCTTTGAGTATAGTAAACATATTTACTGCGACTTTGAACAAGATTACTTTCGGATATCCAACGAGTCGTAGTCACTAAAAAGTACATTTTATACGGTCATTTGTGTATTAGACAAGAGTAGAATTAACTTTATAATTTATTTCTGTCGTAATATAAAAAAACACTTTGGTTGAATTAAAAAACAAATTCATTAAATAATCTGTTTACTACCTCTTTATAAAACAAGTTTTCTCTACATATTTGTATGTTAGAATATAAATTGATAATGGTGAATAAATAATATTAGACGAAGTTACCAAACATTGGGGTGTGTGCGTCAATCTCGTATATCTAAATACATAGCTATAATTAAATGAATATTCATGACACGAACCGCTTCGAAACATTTTTATAGCAGCGTCCGAGAACCGGTCTCTTAGTTTTTTTTGTCGATGTTGTTGAACTTGTGATCGTGCGTTGAGGCAATTATGGCTGTTATGGGCTGCGGCTTACGATACAATGTGTATTTATGGACACCTGTTTATTAATGCGTTCAACTGATATGATGAATGCAACGGTCGTATGAGCACCACGTCCGTTTGATATGACGTACGATCGCTCTAAATAAATCGTTTAATTTGGCTTCTTAACTGTGCCAAGTGGAACTGAGAAGTGTTTTATTTTATATGTTGCTAATGTCGATTAATTAAATATACTTGTTAAGTTTCCGCGTATTTAAAAGAAAAGATGTAAATAAGCTAGTATAAAACCAAAAGATGTTTTGATATTAACATTTGTTATACGTTGTACGACACGTTTTATTTTATATTCAGAAACATTAAGATTCTCTACCTTATTTTTAATATTGACATTGAAGTCCATTATGACAACTTTATTTCGCATGCAAAGATTGCCAATACACAAAGGTCGGAGAACAAAGCCGACACAACCCGCGGGAGGTCAAACAAACAAGTTTGACTAGTCCGTGAGCACGAGCAAGAAAGTCTCCGGTGAAAGTACGCCGGCGAGGCTAATCCGTTCCACAGATAATGTAAAAAATACATTTCATAACACGATTCGTAACAAAACCGGTTCTTTTTGTCTGCTCTCCTCTTACACGATAATCTTTTTATTATATTCATTATACAAAATGTCTCGTAATAATAATAAACTGTACCGTCACATTTTGTAAAAGCTTACCTGGTGTTGCTTTTATAAGTGGCCTTGTTTTTTCTAAACTTAAGATGCCGGTATAAAGTTTTAATAAATTTGTAACACATACAAAAGGACGCTGTTATTTCGGATACCTGCCTGTCATGCTCGCCCCTGAAGCAATTCTTTTATTCATCCTTTAGACGTCTGTCACGGACTAAATTGTTTGCTCTCTACAAAATCAAATTGTATAATAATGTTTTATTCTGAATTCGTGAATATTTGTCATCGAAAAAAATTGTATATACTTTTTCATTCAAAATTTACTTGTAAATTTCATGACACTGATGTTATGAGTATTAAATGTAGTAGTCATACAGGATTTATCCAAAATTTTCTTCAAGCTGATCGCAATATTTATTTATTCTACTATCAGTAAAGACAGCAGTGAAAGAAAATCATCATCATTTCTTACCAAGTCAATATATATTTCTTTTTCACTTATTACCTGACAAGATGAAATAGAGCTAAGACAACAATTTACGAAATATTGTTTTTTTAGACCTTTCAAACTCGCTTTAATAATTTGCATTTAATAAGAAACGAAATCAGGTTCTTATTTACGTTTTTATGATTTGCGAAGTGAACAAGCGGCAGGCGGGTAATGTTGGCGAGGTAGCGGGTAGCGGTAGTACCGTTATAATTGGCAGTCTCCCGCACTTCGCCACCAGCAAGCGGCCTGGCGATTGCCTTTATTGCATTAATGAGCCCGCATATTGAAAGTTCATCGCCCTACAGACGGATCTAATGTTTGCCATTTGTTAACAATCGTCGGAGCGTACTCGTAGCGCGGCCCCCGTTCGACCGAATAACTTTCATTCAATTATTGCTCTACATTTAATGATACGGTTATATCTATTTTGAGCTGTCGTGCTTTATGTTATTGCCTTGAATTTTTAGCAATATTACTCATCCGTTTATTTAACGTATCTTATCTGGAATAGACATTATGAATGCTGTTTCATTGATTTTAAAATTGAAATCTCACAAATAAAATGGATTTATGTTTTAGAGATGATTTCAGATCCACAATAGTTGTGAGTAAAAATAATAGATGTACAAAAACCATCGGCGAACAATAGCAAATCGCCGAACAAAATCAAATATTATTTGTAAACGTAATTGAATCGATGTCCGTCCGCTTCCTTATCAATACAGTTTCATCGATTTCTTATCGTTTCTGTCTCGTCGTGACAACGTTTTGTGTTTGTGAATTTTTATCTGTTTAATCTCTGTGATATATTATCATATCAAAGTGATAAGATTTATTCGCGTTCCTTTAGTTGTCGATTACAAAGAGTAATTTTCCATTTTACTGATAAACTTATGCTATTGAGTTGCAATACAAATTTCACACAAACAATATTGAATTACCTTTTTTTATGTATATTGCAACATATTAAGAAGAATGTTATCATCGCATTTGGTCTGTTTAGATGCGAATACTTACAAACGACTAAATAAAGTTTTACTTGTAGACATATTTACTGGTTTAAATATTATGATGATTATTTGCCAAAATGAACTAAGTTATAGAAACATTAGGTAAGAAAAAACTAGCATATGTTAGCTATAAATTATTCCAATAAAGTGTGTCCTGATTGGAACGTTTAGACAGAGCAACTTTCATTTTTGAGCGTTTTTAATCTGCGATCAAATATGGCGGCTATATCCAACATGGTGGCATAAGGCGCGCACACGCGTTTGCAACCGGTTCGCAGGCGTGCAGTTTCGCGTGACTTTCTATAACAACCGCCTGCCCTCGTCTGATCGACTCACAATCAGTAATTGCTCTACCCAACACCGACACTGAATGACTAAGCATTTCTTACAATTATAAGTTTTAATTTTTATTAAGATTGCCTACACTACATTGCATCTTTACTTTAAAATCTGTTCCCACGTTTGTGTTAACTGTATTATAAACATGAAACGGTTGTTGTAAAGTAAGTCAACCAGTTGTTTTTTTGTCTATTTAGGTAAAATCGCAAAGTAAAGTCTCATCGGTCGACTCCGCAGAAAGGTTAATTGTTTTCCACTCATTACATTTCTCGCATTGTTCCTCACTAACTGTAAACTGCCGAGCACAATGAGTAATTGTTGTGTTTCCTCGGAATCAACTCACTAACAAACGTTAATAATTATATTTACGATACCACCGCAAACTACACAGTTTGCAAAACACTGGAGTACAGACCTAATTAGTAGGGGATCAAAAAAACTAACATGAATAGCTTTCGTATCAATAGATCTATGGCTGTTTAATGACCAGTCATGATTGAACATCGGTAAAGCCCCGATCAATACATTAATATTATTACTTCTCAACGCAGAGGTGTGTTTTCTAATAAATTTTTGTTGTAAGAAAAACGTGCATGAATAGGAATACTCGACTTGAGTAATCTGTTCAAATCATAGTTTTATTGAAGACAGTTAAACTGAGTGTTGAATACCATTATAATTTTCATTATGTTGTACCTAGAAGTCTATTGGAAGAAGTCAACTTTTACTACTAGAAACACTATAATAGGAACATTACAATAATATGTTTTGTGTTTATCCGGATAAAATAAAAAGGATAAAGACCATAAAACAACAATTAAGGAGAAACTCTCGCATATTAACGATTTATATTTTTGTTTTGGCATCATTCCGTAGTGGATGTTGAAAGGAAGTAATTAAGATTCAAACATTAAGACTTTAAATTATCGCGCACTAAATATCGTTATATAATTTATTTAGTTTATTCAAGCCAAAACTGGTTATGGTGAACTTTATACCGTTATGTTTGGAGTATTCTGAAAGTACCCTGGGTTCGTTGATATTAACGATGTATACAA